TGCAGAATTGAGAGTTGGGGGAGGAAGGAGAAAACAGAGGTTGGAAGCAGCAGCCAGAGATGAAAAGAAAGCTGTTGTCAGCGGCTCAAGTTGTAGAAATGGGTCCAGGATCCTGGAGGAGGCCAGAGATGATCATATATCATCCAACCATGAACTGCCCTAACTCTCCATAGACAGAGGCCAGGGAACGTCTTTACAGAACAGGGATAAAAAGATTACCTTTCCCGTGGGATTGTTTGTGGGGATTAAACGGGATCGTGGCTGTGAAGCACTTAGCAGAGAGCCTGTATCAGAATGGACAGTCAATAAATACATATTATTTTTCCAATACTTTCTAGATATTCATTTCAATTTTATGTCACATTGGTAAAGAAGGGAGATGGAGAGTTGTGAGGAGCCCAAACCTTCAAAGGTATCGGGGCGACCTTCCTGTGCCTTCATCACCCACTGCCTGGCCTTGAGGCCCTGGCTGCAGGGAACCTGGACTCCATGTGCTGCCAAAGCCCAATGGTGGCTCCCAAAGTCACAGGTTAGGTTCTCTCACAGGTTAGGTTCTCTGGAAACAGAAGTGGAGTCAGAGCTTGGGCACAAGTTGTCTACCAGGAATCATCACCTGTGAAAGGAAGGGCGCGGGGCCGGACTGGGCAGGCGAGAAGCTGAGTCACCACACAGCCCCAACGAAGCTTCAGCCAACCTGGCGGGAGCTCTGCAAGTGGTGTCCGTCAGAATTGGCTTGCGTCACACTACAATGCCTGGGCCTGTACTCCCACCTTATGTAGTCCCCAGATGTGGGCTGCTGTGATAAGGACATGACCTTGGGGGAGGGGGACAGAGCCTGGGAAAAGCAGCAGCAGGAGGCTGACCGCTCACACAATCTACAGCTGGGCAGCAAGTGCCTAGAGTGAGTGCTCCAGGTGAAAAGGGGCCTTTTGTGACCCTCAGCCCCTCGTGACCTGACACACAGAGGAAGGTGTTTGTTACTTCAATTACTTTTTTTTTAGCTGAGCCATCCTGCCACCTCAGTGTTGGCAGCTCAGCGGCTGCTCAGCTCGGGCTGGACTTGAACCGCTGTTGCTCAGAGCTCAAACTCTTGAGCAAGCTCTTAACCAACTGAGCCACTCNAATGATGGTGCCAACTTGGGCCAGTGAAGCAACGTCCTCCACAACTAGACTGAAGAACAAAACGACAGCAACTTGTCTGTTCCCCTTCCCCGATTCCCCAGCGCTGTTCCCATGCCCCCAATTCCCCAATAAAATCTTAAAAAAAAAAAGTGTAACTCCAGAAATCAATAACGATATCAGTATGCAAATTAATAACCTGGAATATGATCATCGGTTTTTTTGAACTTATGACGAACTTGCAATGACGAAGTGTTCTTGGCCTTCTATGATGCATAAATATCATAAAATTTCTTGTACCATATGTTTAAAAATAAATCCTAAAATTCCTTTATAATACAAAAAAACAAGTACCTAAATGTAAACAAATAAAAATTTGAATTAAAAAATTAAAATGAAAGATTTCTTCCTCCTGAAAGTTTGGGCCACAAACGTGGGTGCACATTATACACAGGAGCATATTATACATGGCAAAATATGGTAATTGGCACAAGAACCATTTTAGGTTTTATAGATAGCTGGCTCATAGATTGGTATGGGATGCACTGCACCATGACTACCTCCAGGAGGCAGTATTCACAATAAATCTCTTGTGGGTGGCACCTTCTGGGACAGAATATAATGGTGAGGATCTGGTGAGAAAATAATACCACCACCAGCACCACCAACACCACCAGTCCCCCCCCCCACACACACACACACACATACAAAAGATGAAATGACAGCAACCTGCCTTTCCTGGGGAGAATGATGCTGACAGCCCTGCCAATGAAGCACGAGAATGATTTTGGAAAGGACTCAAAGACTAGTGTTCTGGTGCTGCTGTCTCTCGAGGAATTTCTGAAAGGCCCATGTGGAAATCTCCAACCCAGCACAGAGCCCAAGCCCAGAACTCACTAGTCCTTGAGGCCATTGATGCCAGCATACAGGACCTCATCATTCCACTCGATGGTTTTGATCTGGTTGTTGGCCATGCCAGCGAAGGCATAGATGATGTGCGTGCAGAGACACGGGTCCACATTCTCGGGCATGTAGCTGGCAACCCCAGGGCGGTACTGGCTCCAGTTGGTGAAGTAACACACAATTTTGGTTGCCGTGCCTGGAATGGCAGGGAAGTAAGAGATGATCCCTGCCCTGACAAATGTCCCTTGCCCCCGGGGTACCCTGGCACGCCCCCCCCCTTCACATGGGACACTTACCCAGCTGCAGCAGGAAGGCCAGCCCTAAAGAAGAAAAGAGACTTTGGTCAGAGAGTGGCAGGCTTATCCTTTCCTGGCTGGGAAAGAGCAGGCCTGGGGAGCACTGGCCAGTAAGTGGAGAAGACGGTCAAAGATCCAATGTCTCCTCTGCCCTATAAATCCTTTCCCAGCGTGGACCCCTGCATGATGCTTTTGGAGAAGGTGGCTAATGTAGGTAAATTCAAGGAGTTCGGAAGCTCAGATGATAGTGCACAGCTCAGGAAACAGGGAAACGTATTATTCTTTCAACAAACTCATACTAACTATTGGGTGCTGGAGATAAAAAGAAAAAACTAGACAAGGTCTCTGGCCTCAGAGAGCTCACAGTCTGATGGGAAGTCAAACCTGTAAGTACAAAGGTGCTCGGCAACGTGGCAAGTGGTAAAACTGAGACACACACAGAGCCTTACGGAAAAGAAGTCAGGGACGACTTCCCAGGACAAGCAACATTTGAACTGACTGGGCCTCTCTTTTCTCCTTCTGGGTCCTTTAGTATCTGTGCTGTCACAGTATTGATCACACTGAAAGATCATTGTTTATTGGCCTGCCCATTAAGCTCTAAGCTCCTTGAGGGCAGGGACAATACTGAGTCCCTACTACCCAGCACAGTGCCTGGCAGGCAGTCAACTCTCTACCAATGTATGTTCAATGAATGGGCTGTACAGATAAGCCAAATTGGTGGGGAAAGGCCGAGGGGACACAGCGGGTAGAGAAGGGGAGTTTTCACGCATTGGGCCCCCTTCCATAAGACCCTCTCCACACTGAGAACTAGAACTCGCCTTTTCTAGAACTAACTTCATTCTACTTTTCAACTCAAATGATGCTTCTAAATTTGATTCCCTTTCAAGCCACCCAACCAACCACATGCAAAATGAGCTGTTGTGCCCTGCCCACAGATCATTCTCATTGGGCTGCTGCCCACAGTTTAAGCATCATCTCTGGGAGGAGTTGGCAGTGGAGGAACTGCATTAGCTCTTTAAGGTCTTTTGTGCTTCTTCCCTAGCCTCCTCACAGATAAAATCTGCTTCATTCGTTTTTCTATTTATTGCTCCTGTTAGCTGAATAGTCCTTGGTCAAGTCTATGCATTGATCTTCTGCTCTGTAGCGGGCAGTGAGGAGAAATCACAGAACCTTAGAATGGGAGGGCTAGCCCCAGTCTTCCATCAGCCCACATGGGGAAACGGCCCTGTTCCTGTTCACCAGTTACCCATTTCCCTCCCATCTGAAGCCCACAGGTGCTCAGGGAGCCCTCCCTCCTTCCCTTCCTTCCTTCCTTCCTTCCTTCCTTCTTTCCTTCCTTCCTTCTTTCCTTCCTTCCTTCTTTACTCCCTCGCTCCTTTCCTTCCTTCCTTCCTTCCTTCCTTCCTTCTTTCCTTCCTTCCTTCTTTCCTTCCTTCCTTCTTTACTCCCTCGCTCCTTTCCTTCATTCCTTCCCTGCCTCCCTCCCTACTATGTTATGAACCCAAGGAGGCTACAAGAGAGAAAGGGGACAATGCAGGCAGCCTTGGAGCACAGAGCAGGTATCAGCAGAGTGAATGGAGAAGGAACAGCGGCTGCTCGGAAAGCTGCACGAGCTGCTGGAGAAGACTCACCAGCAAGAATCAGCAATTTGCCCATTTTGATGGGAGGTCCGAAATGCGAGTTCCAGGCCTAAACAGGCAGCCAACAGCTTTTTTATAAGGACTCCTGCAGGCCCTCCCACCCTACACCTGGCTCCCTTCAGCAGGCAAGATGGGAACTCAGGAATAAAGGGGTGGGGGGCCATATGGATCCCATTTACCCCCTGAATCTTATCTGTGTTTTCCTTCTTGGGTAATCAACCCAGGACACAATGGAGACTCCGTGAGAATGGCCTTAAAAACTTGTTGACTGAAAGTACATTTAGGAAATGGCATATCTGGCACAAGTATGAGGCTGGCTTAGGGCTCAAAGTCATTACAGGTCAGAGTAGGCCCACCTGTCAAAAGAGACCAGCTGGACCTAGTGGAGGAGTACCAACAAGAGAAGTCAGGCCACCATTTGAGCTTTTTTCCTGGCCGTCCCACCCTCCAGCTCCTTGGTTCTACTGTAGCAACAGATGTCAGAGAGAGGCTAGAAGTTTGTGAGGTTTCACCAGGTTTGAGTGAGAAAGAATCACTTTCCAAAGTTGCTTCTGTTTAACTGAAGGTAGCCTGGTTTACAGAGGGTGGAGGAAATGCATGGTGGGGCAGACATTTCTAATTAAGCTTTGACTCAGAAAGGAGAAGCAGCAAAGCCTGGGACTAGACCCCAAGAACCCACATAAATCAGAAAAAAGACAGCTACAGAAATGGCTATGGATTGAGGCTCTGAGCAGCACAATGTTTTAGGACCTGCCTCCCTCCATTCCACTCCCAGTCTTACTTCCCATATACCTACAGGAAAGGGATACAACTACAGGACATATCCAGTGCCCCTGATCCTTCCTAGGCCTTCATCTCAGTTGGCCCCTGTCTAAACCGTTATCATTGACTGCAAGGACTTGACGCATTAGCTAACTGGAATTGGACCCGTCTTGAAAATAGCAATAATAGCTACCACTCATTCAGCACATACAATGTACCAGGTGCTAAACAAGAGGCCCTCATCTCTTTAATCTTCTCCTGGCTGTTGGCAAAGCAAATGGTTCTCTCCTCAGAGCAGGTATGAGAAATGGCTCCATAGAGTTCACGGCTTGGAGCCCAAAACATGGCCAAGGTTAATTGTTACCCATGATAATCAAAGTAATAGCAAACACAAAAAAAGTGTTCATAATGCGTCAGGCACTAGCCTAAATGCTTTGCAAATATTAACTTACCCCTCAAATCTCTGGGAGATAGGCACTCTTATTATCCCCATTTCACAAATGAGAAAACTGGAGCACAGAGAAGGTAAGTAATTTGCCCAAGGTCACACAGCCAGCAAGTTCGTGACAAAGCCAGGGTGTGAACCCAGGAAGTCTGACTCCAGACTGTGCTCTTAATTACTTGGCAATTCTGCTTCCCAAGAACATGACGACCAGAGAAAGCAAAGTACTGACCCAGAGTTATAAAACCACAGAGAACCTCCGAGTAATGCCTACCTTAGGTAAGAAGGCCTGAGCAGTGGCGCAGCGGTTAGGGGGCCTTAGGGACAAGTTCCCCCAGTCTCCAGCAGTCTTGTCACCCCTGTTCTTTGGTACATATATCTGGTGTTTTCTCAGCCATAAGGGAATATTCCAAGCAGTTTTGACACCAATCCCCTAGTATTTCCACTCTCACTCCCCTTCGGATAAGTAGCCTTCTCTAAGCCCCTCCTCTGCAGAAATTCCAGTGCTATCAGATAGATGACCTTACACTCCCTAAGCCCAATAGTTCATCTGTAAATTGGACTTCCATGACCTCCTTTAACAGCCCTGAGGATTAAATATGTGCATGAAAGTGCTGTTCAAAGGTTAGGATAAGAATCATTTTTCTAGAAGGAAAGGATTAGAAGAAATGCGAGAGAATGGGGAAAAACACAATTTATCCTGAAATTAGGGTGTCTGAACGTAGAAACAGCCTTATACCTGGGGAGCCTTGGTCCCCACCTTGGCACCATGCTGTAGAGAAGGAATTGCAAAGTTTTCTGTCAAGGGCCAGATAGTAATATTTGGGATTTTGCAGGCCATACTGTCTCTGCCTTCTCAATCTTGCCATTGGAGGGAGAAAGCAGCCACGGGCAAGATGTAAACTAATGTGGCTTGGCTGCGTTCCAACAGAATTTCAATTACAAAAACAGGTGATGGGCTGGGTTTGTCTTGTGGGCCGTCGTTTGTTGCCCCTGCTTTTGGTGCATCCACTCTGGTCCTCCTCCAGTCGCACCCCGCGCCACGCACGAGATGAGGAGGCTGCAGGACCAGGGCACATCCACCTGGAGCCACATCCTTCCTCTCCTACACCATGACCCAGACACCCGGACTTGTGCCCAAATAGCCTGTGCCCACTTTCAGGACCCGTGCAGGCCTTTGCCTGCCCATTCTTATCGGACTGTCCATCTTTTTAGGAGTTCTCTCTATATTATATAAATGTATCTTTTCTCTCTCATATTTATTTTAATTTTTTCCCATTTTTTACTTTGTATTTTGTTTATATTGTCTTTGTGTGATTAAAAAGATATATATATATATNTTTTTTTAAATAATTTTTTAATTTAAATATTCATTGTATTTCTTCCTCTTCTTCTTCTTCTTCTTCTTCTTCTTCTCCTCCTCCTCCTCCTTCTACTTTTTAAATACTAATTTACATACATTTTTTAAACTTTATTGGGGAACAATGTGTTATTTCCAGGACCCATCAGCTCCAAGTCAAGTTGTTGTCCTTCAACCTTAGTCGTGGAGGGCGCAGCTCAGCTCCAAGTCTAGTCGCCGTTTTCAATGTAGTTCTAGAAGGGGAGAGGGGTGCGCAGCCCACCATCCCATGTGGGAATCAAACCGGCAACCCTGTTGCTCAGAGCACAAGCTCTAACCAACTGAGCTGCCCAGCCGCCCTCCGTGACTGTTTTTATAAATGGCAATGTGCACATCTTAATCCTTTCCTCCTTCTCACCGCCCCCCAGCACCCCCAACCCCTTTCCATCTGGTTTCAGTTTTTTGCTGAGACTGTACCAGCAGAGGTGCAGTGTTTGACAGGGACAGCCTGGGGCATAGGAATGCCTCTGATACTGTCCCTTCTGACTTGACATTCTGTCATTCTAGGTTCTTTCTGTCACTAAATGGCCAGAATATGGTGGTTAATGAGACAAATGAGGTGCAGAGGAAGAAAGAAGGTGGGGAATAAAGAGATTTCACTATAGGCAATAAAGAGGTTTTATTGCAATTCAGGCAAGAAGAGAATCTCAATTCTAATTTATCACTTAAAATTCACATGGAAGACATCTCAGTAAAAGTGTTATACATGGTTATTATTCAAAAAATAAAAAAGGTGGTAGAAGATGCACTATTTTGCAAGAAAAGGCATAGCATTGAGAAAACTTTATTACTATTAGGAGGGTTCAGCTTGTTAATTTGTGGCTCGTTTGGAATGACCTTGGAATTAATGTACAACCTTTGCTTCCCCATCCAGAGTCTTAGACCAAAAACTGATTCTGAAATGTCAGTTATCATAGTCTTGAGACTGAGATGGTTTTAAAGTTTCCCTTGGTTGGATGAAAAAAAAAATGTGGTTCTGGAAAAATTGTACAAATAAGTAGGGAGACAAAAAATAAATGAATACAGAATCAGTACTTTTGATAAATTGTGTTCATTCAGGTAAAGAAATTCATCTTCATGATGCTGCTTTGGTTATGCTCTGTCTGCTTACCACATTTAGCAGGTTGATATGTTTGATATACCAGACTTGCTTACATCTTAGAAAGAGTGTGCTTATTAGATTTATAAGTCTTCCCTGTCAGAATTTTGAAGCGTTGGAGAAAAATCATGCATTTATAATTTTGATTATAGGTAGACAGTCTAAGGATCTTTGAGGAATGACAAAACCCTTCATGATCTTCAGGCCCCTCTCCTCCTACAATGGTGAATGGTGGGCCTCACTTTCCCAGCATCGCCGAGCTATATGTCTGCTTGATTTCGGGGGAGTTATTTATATCTTTGAGGACTCCAGTAGCTGTGACACCTATTATGATGAGCCTCTGTCCCATATAAGGAACAAAAACAAACTCACATATACTGGGGGGGGATTTCTCAGTGTGAAAGGTAGGGCATTTGGGGAGCAGTGAGCAGACTAGCTTGATTATAATCAAATAGGATATCTGTCTGCTGAGGACACCACAGAAGGCTTTGAGCACTGGGCCACTTGTCAACTCCACAGGAAATGGCACAGCAACTGCTGGTGGCAGTCCCCCAAGAACCCAGAGATAAGGCTCCCATCTGAGTGTGAACTGAAGGTTCATTTTATCTGCTCTGTGACTTTGGGCAAGTTTCTTAACATCTCTGAGCCTGTTTCTTCATCTATAAAGTGGGGATAGTAATACCTACTCAAAGGATTATTGGTAATGCTGATTTGAAATAATGTTTCCAAAATGCTTAGCATCGTGCCTGAAAGAGCTCAGTCCATGAGAGCTATCTGTTCCTATTCAGCGAATGGCCAGGAGATTAGGGGAACTCCTAAGTGTCATCTAGGTGTTAGGACTCTAGTTCAGCTCAACAGTGACATGTTGACCACGTACTAATGCTGTAGTCATGGTGCTGGGGATTTATTTATATCAGTCCAATATTATTAAGCAAATGCTTGTAAGGAAATTGGTTTATACCTATTGGTTCCAAAGCTCTGAATAGTGCCAGAAAGACACGTTCACATTCTGTTTGTTCTTTTTTTTTCTGAATCTGTTCTGTACTTAGAGTATTTAGAGAAGGTTTTTTGTCTGTTTGTTTGTTTGTTTTTGTTTTTGTAAGTAGATGTTGCTAAGTGAAAGAAGCTAATTTGAAAAGTCTACATACTGTGTGATTCTGAGTCTATGGAATTCTGGAAAAGGCAAAACTATGGAGATGGTATAAGAATCGATCAGTGCTTGCCAGGGACTCAAAAGGAGGGAGGGAGGAATTGGTAGGCGGTGCACAGGGGATTTTTAGCACAGTGGAACCATTCTATATGACACTGTAATGG